TAGTGCCGTACAGTAACACCCCTTTTGTTCTTGTCCAATCAGGTGGTGTCATACAGTAACACACCTTTAGTGCCGTACAATAACACCCCTTTTGTTCTTGTCCAATCAGGTGGTGCCGTATAATAACACCCCTTTTGTTCTTGTCCAATCAGGTGGTGCCGTACAGTGATGCCCTTTTTGTTCTTGTCCAATCAGGTGGTGCCGTACAGTAACGCCCTTTTTGTTCTTGTCCAATCAGGTGGTGCCATACAGTAACGCCCCTTTTGTTCAGTAACGCCCCCTTTGTTCTTGTCCAATCAGATGGTGCCGTACATTGATGCCCCTTTTGTTCTTGTCCAATCAGGTGGTGCCGTATAGTGATGCCCCTTTTGTTCTTGTCCAATCAGGTGGTGCCTTACAGTAACACCCCCTTTTGTTCTTGTCCAATCAGGTGGTGCCGTACAGTGATGTCCCTTTTGTTCTTGTCCAATCAGGTAGTGCCGTACAGTAACGCCCCCTTTGTTCTTGTCCAATCAGGTGGTGCTGTACAGTAACGCCACTTTTGTTCTTGTCCAATCAGGTGGTGCCGTATAGTGATGCCCCTTTTGTTCTTGTCCAATCAGGTGGTGCCGTACAGTAACACCCCTTTTGTTCTTGTCCAATCAGGTGGTGCCGTACAATAACGCCCCTTTTGTTCTTGTCCAATTAGGTAGTGCCGTACAGTAACACCCCTTTTGTTCTTGTCCAATCAGGTGGTGCCGTATGGTTACGCCCTTTTTGTTCTTGTCCAATCAGATGGTGCCGTACAGTGATGCCCCTTTTGTTCTTGTCCAATCAGATGTGTCGTACAGTGACGCCTCTTTTGTTCTTGTCCAATCAGGTGTTGCCTTACGGTAACGCCCCTTTTGTTCTTGTCCAATCAGGTGTCTCCCTTTAACAAAGTCCGTCAAATCAGGTGTGTCACTTTAGACTCACCTTTTGTTGTGACACGCCCACTCGACTTGTGACACGCCCACTCGACTTGTGACACGCCCACTCGACTTGTGACGCGCCCACTTGTCTGCAGAGACCCTACTTGATCACATTGACCACATTTTGAAAACACTGAAGTTAAAACTCAGATTATTTTTCAGAAATGTTTCATGCAATGCAATGTCAAATTTATTTATAAAACACATTAACAACAAAAACTGACCAAAGTGCTTCACAGTTCAGTCAAGACATCAAAAAACAAACAAATAATAGATACAAATACAGAAACACAATATATGAAAAATCTCTAACTGAACCACCTACTCTTAAACATAAACCAGAGAAAAGAAACAGGTCTTCAGTAAAGATTTAAAGCCTCATCAGTCTCAGAGCTAAACTGTTCCACAGCTTTGGAGTCGTGCTTCTCTCTGATGCTCCTGATCTGTTTGTGCCTGTTAGCTTCCTGCCTGTTAGCTTCCTGCCTGTTAGCTTCCTGCCTGTTGGACTGTGCTGATGATGTTTTATACACAGAGTCAGGGGCCATCAAAGGGCCACAATATTGAAAGAGGGGCCAGTCTTTGTTCAACATCCTTTCACACAAAGCCCCAGTGTTGGTGAGGTGTTTCCATTTAACCAGTCATACCTGTTCAAACACTTGTAATGGTTTAAAAAGTTACCACTTTACAATAAGGCTCCCCTTACAGATGGCTTTTAAATATTTTATAGACAGGTTATTAATTCATCTGTAAACACTTTATAAATTATTAATAAGTGTTTATTATGCATTAATTAAGGTAAAAAAGAGACTAAACTGTCTGGTTTCTTTCCAAATACTGAGACAAACCTGTTTATTAAACATTTCAGACTAGTTTTCTACCTTGTAGCACAATYATGATTAGGAAACATATTTTAACATATAATATTGTTCTGTATTACTGCGTTATAAATATACACTAATATTAAAGGGATCCTTACTGTAATGTGTAAAACTGTACATTAGTTTGGATGAGGTGGGATTATTTGGTTAACATGACATTTTTTACTGTTTTGATACATCATCATTGTTAACAGTAGTTACATGTTTGAACAATAACTTCAAATATTGATAATCAACACAAAGTTTAAAAATGATGATTTTTCACATTAAAGACCAACTTTTGGTCTTTATAAATGTTTATTTGTCATTAATAAATAGTGTACTGTTTTACACTTTATGATGGGGCTCCCTTTTTATATTTATTATGCACTATTTGTAATGCAGTAATACAGTACAATATTAATATTAAAATATGTTTGTTTTTTTTTTAGTTATTGTTCTTACAAAGTAGTAACCTGGTCTGAAATGTTTATATGAACAGATTTGTCTCATTGTTTAATAAGAAACTACAGTTTTGTCTCTTTCTGGTCCTTAATAATTGCATATTAAACATTAATGATTTATGAAGTGTTTACAGATGAATTAATAACTTATCTATAAACTCTTTATAAGAGGAGACTTATTGTAAAGTGGTACTGAAAAAATCTTGCACAGTAAATTCTCACCAGTTTTTCATACATTTAACTGAACATAGATAAAATATTCTCAAACAAACAACATGTGATAAAATCCAGCCATCATTTGTCAGTTTAAATACTTTTTTCTGCAGGATTGTTCAGATTTTCTTCAGAAGAGAAGAATTCAGTTTGATTCATGCTGGATTTTACTGTTTGACTCATCAGCGCCTCCAGTGTTTAAACATGGAGCTGCACCCACCATCATCACTCTCAGGTAAAGGACAGGCGAGTGACAGGACAGGGACACTTCAGGGGGCCAATCAGATTTCAGCTGGGGCCAGTGCCGCTGTGGCCCCGCCCCCAGAACCGCCCCTGTGAATGCCCCAGACAACTCTGCACATGTTGGATGTTGCCTATCTGTGGATTTATAACAAAATGTAAACCAGTTACACACCACTGCACCCTGTACTGGTAAACTGTTCTTCATTATCTACACACAGACTACACACAGACTACACACAGACTACACACAAACTACACACAGACTACACACAAACTACACACAGACTACACACAGACTACACACAGACTACACACAAACTACACACAAACTACACACAGACTACACACAGACTGCACAGATATAAATCTTGGTATATTTCTATGTACAGATCAGCCTGCTGCCTCCCCACACTGACAACACAAAGACTCAGTCAGAGCCTCTGAAGGTTTCCTTCAGTGCTCCATCACTTCTACCTGCTCCATGTTCATGGAGTTCACTGCAGCAGGACCTGAAAGGGTCCAGTTTGATCCCACTGGAACATGTTAAACACACCGTGCTCATGGTTGTGTGGAGCTGTCCCCAAACTGTAACTTAAATTCATGATCTTTGTGTAACTGATTTTGTGTGTCACAGGTCTCTCTTGCAAAAGAGACGACACGTCTCAGAGATTACCTGCCTAAATTAATTAATTAATTAATTAATTAATTAATTAATTAATAAACAAATAAATAAAAATACATTTATTAAAACTGTTTGGTGTCAGACGTTTATTAATCTGAACTTTAAGATAAAAATCATAAATTTATTTTCTGTAAGTTTTATTTAAATCCATCCAGTGCTTCATGAGATATTTTACTAACAGAAACATAATCAAACAAGAAACTCTTCTGTTTGAAACCTCAACCGGAAGTTGTTCAAATCAAACCAAAGCGGAGGAGCTCGGGTCTTTTATTGTGAAGTGTATGACCGGATGTGAAGCCCGGCTAACATCCGGTGTAAGGTTAGCTTGTGTTTTTTTCGTCTCGGTGGGTTTTTGCAGCGGTTCTTGTGTTTCTGACCCGGTTTGTTGGTTCTGTTCAGACTGTTCCAGCGACAGAAACTTTATTAACAAATCAATCAATTAATTTAATTTAATTTAATTTAATTTAATTTAATGATCTGAGCGCTGAAGTTTCGACAGTTTGTTTCAGAACAAATCAAGTTATTTTAGTTTAATATTTATGAGCTGAATGTTTACAGTTTGTGTAAATCTGTAGAATAAATCTGAGAATCTGACGAACAAACAGGTTAAATTATTTAAATTAACATTAAACTGAGCTGCAGCTTTCAGCTCATCTGATGCAACTTCCTGCGGAAATGACGTCAAAGATCAGTTATTTCTTATGTTTAGTCCCTGGTTCCGGTCCAGTCCGGTGATGATGATGATGGTGGTCCAGCATGGATAAGGTCAAGAGGGTCCTGGTTTACATCGTGAAGGACCAGGCGGCCCCGCAGAGGGTCCAGTTCCTCCAGGTCAGTCCTGAGTCACAGAACAGTTTTAGGTCCGCTCCTTTTCAGGCAGCAGGACGACGACCCGGCTGGGAGGAGAGCTGAGTCAGAACTGACCCGTCAGAGCCCATCAGAACCGACCCATCAGAACCCATCTGAGTCATGTCAACACAAAATGCTCCACAGAGATATAAAAACAAAATCACTTCCTGGTCCTGACAGAACCTGGTCCTGGCAGAACCTGGTCCTGGCAGAACCTGGTCCTGACAGAACCTGGTCCTGTTTGTCCCCTCAGAGTGTGACAGGGTTCTTCTCAGACGGGGAGGACCAGGTGGACGTCAGCTTCTCTCTGGAGGACAGCAGGTTTCTGGTGTCCAGAGGAGCAGGAGGACCAGGACCAGGGACCCCCCTGAAGGTCTGAAGTTCAGAATCAGTGTCCTTGTCTCATGGTCCTGACTGATGTGTCTCACTTCCTGTCAGAGACCCTCCTTCTGTCCCATCAAACACCTGTCGGCTGCAGAGGACGTCCCGTTGGACGTCCAGCAGCGTGGAGTGGACGTGGGCGTGGCCATCCTGCTTCAGACAGCCAATCAGAGAGTGCTGCTGACGCGCCGGGCCCAGCAGCTCCACATATTCCCAAACGTCTGGGTTCCTCCAGGTCTCAGCTCTGTTCAGTTCTTCACCTGAGCCCAGACGGTCCCAGGAACCTGGTCCTGACTCGTGTCTCTGTCCTCAGGTGGACATGTGGAGCCAGAGGAGACGGTGAGGGACTCAGAGCTCCTTCAGGTGAGTCTTTCTCTCAGCTGCTGACTCTGAGCTGTTTTCAGCTGCTGGCTGCAGGACTCAGGGAGCTGCAGGAGGAGACCGGACTACATCTGAGACCGGACCAGGTGTCTCCACAGGTCCTGGGACTGTGGGAGGTGAGACATGAGCTGCTGTCCTCCAGCAGGACCACTTTAGTGTTCCCAGAAGAGTTCTCTTATCAAGGTTCTGAAAGACCTGACAGCTGGACCCAGGAGACCTGAAGGATCTGAAGGTCCTGGTCAGGTCCTGTTCTGGATCTGGTCAGGTCTAGTTCAGGTCTTGGTCAGGTCTTGTTCTGGTCCTGTCCTGGAGACAGGTCTTTATCAGATCAACATTTTGTTTTTCCTCTCTGAGCTCTGACAGGTTTTCAGCTGACAGGAGTGAAAACAACCGACTGCAGAAAGAATCTGAACCTGGCTCAAAGCTAAGTGTAGCTAAATGCTAGCATAAAGTAGGTAAATGCGAGCTAAAAGTAGCTAAACACTAGCTATATGTAGCTAAATGCTAGCATAAAGGAGGTAAATGCTAGCTAAAAGGAGGAAATGCAAGCTAAAAGTAGCTAAACATTAGCTATATGTAGCTAAACACTAGCTATATGTTGCTAAACACTAGCTATATGTTGCTAAACACTAGCTATATGTTGCTAAACACTAGCTATATGTAGCTAAACACTAGCTATATGTAGCTAAACACTAGCTATACTGTATGTAAATAAACACTAGCTATATGTAGCTAAACACTAGCTATATGTAGCTAAACACTAGCTATATGTAGCTAAACACTAGCTATATGTAGCTAAACATTAGCTATATGTAGCTAAACACTAGCTATATGTAGCTAAACACTAGCTATATGTAACTAAACACTAGCTATATGTA